AAAAAAAAATGTATGTTATTGAATTAGATTTTAATCAAAAACGTTTCCAATATATTAATTTATTATTATTAACTTTTGTCCACTGAAAATCGCACGCTTATCGCTTACTTCGTGCTGGAAGACTCATGTAGTGAAGAAGTAAGCGTTAAAAGCTTTTTAACTTAGAAAATCCTCGCCTTAACCTCAACTTTAATTAAACTCAAAATAGAACGGGGGTGTATTATAAGATACGAGTCATGCACGGTTAGGGATTTCTTTTGCATTACTAGCAGGGTTATAAGAGAATTTTCGTGTACTAACGTATTTTTATACGAGGTACATACGTACCAACGCTGCTATATTATGGTTGTAGCACGAATGAGTCAGTTCGATCGGGGTAGGACCACGCTCTCACAAAATACCAGCCTAATGTCGCTTTGTTTCGTATGGTGAGTGTAGAGAACAGGAGATCCATTTTTACTGGAAACGAGGCATTCCATCTTAGACCTCAGGGGTGGATTCGAACCTGCGGCCCTCAGTGGTTCAACTCATTGCTAAGCCACTGCGCCAAGGTGCGCGCTGGTCGCCTGTCTTGGTATTTGACGTCAGACGTAAAGGAGGTAGCTATACCGCCATCTATTGGTGCTGCGTTTGGTGTGACGAAATGGCTTGATGTATTCTGTCAGAGTACTCATGTAGTGGTGGTGTACGAATATCCACTGCCCCATATCGCCCCGTGGGTGTCGTAAGAGATAGAAGGAAATTGAAACACGAGATGAGCAGCAGCAGCTGCCTGATAACAAGTCAAAATTATAAAAACTGCGGTTGCCAGCCAGCCTGTGGCAACTATGGCAAAAGCCTAACTACGAAGCGATTTATGGGGAGGCCTTATTCAGCAGTGGACTTTTAACATGCTGTAACGATTACAGTTAAAGAGATGGCTATACCACCTGATGGTAAGTGGATGCTGTGGCCCATAGACATCTACATTTATATTCAACTTAGAATCAAAATGCAGATGCGTTATCACCCCTGAGGAGTAAGGTGGAATGCCTCGTATAATTAGTAAAAAGGATCTCCGGTTCTCCCACCATAAGTTGGACTGCAAGTTTGTTGTTACTTTAATTTAATTAAATAAAAGATAATTCCAAATACATAGAATAGACATAGATGTTACCTCACTGCCTACCACCGCTTCTCTTCAGTGTGCTATGTACATACAAATGCCTAAAGTCATACACGCTTGTTTCCCGTGGTTGCTGTAAGAGATCTCATACGTGGTAGAGCCCTGCCACAGCTATATTATAGTTATAGCACGAAAGGATATGCTCGAAGTGGAAGGACCACACTCGCACAAAATAGCATCGTAAATTAGCAAGATAATGCTCTGTGTTCCATAGGGCGAGTAAAAAGAATTCTATGCTCTTTTAAACGAGACGTCCCATCTTAGTCCTCAGGCGTCAATTGGCTACAATTATGGCTTAAATATAATATTGTTTGGCTTGGCGAAGGAGGAACCATGTTCGCACAAAATACAAACAACATAATTGTGTGTTTTTATAGGTTTATATAGGTTTTTATATGTTACTACTTAGTCTGAAAGGGCGACTTGAATTGCATGCATTTGAATTTTGATTCTTAATCGAGCAAAGATGTAGGTGTCTATGCGTCACAACATCCATTGAACTTTAATTCTAAACAATTAACTTTGAATGAAAAGTTAAAATCGATTTCAAAGACTAAAAAATTGTCAGTTTTCTATTGTTATTAAAAAATGTTTTTTACCCTTTTAAGTGGGTCAATATAGTTTTTTATATAACTTTTTCTATAAAATAATTGTAACAAATGAGCACACAGTCCACCCGATTATAAGTAGATATTGTATTTATTCTCGATTAAGAATCAAAATGCAGATGCTTTATCACCCTGAGGACTAAAATGGAATGCCTCGATAAAAAGGATCATCTTCTTTTTTACCTTAGTGATAGAATTTGTTTTATTTATACTGAATCACTCCTGAAATATTACGTATATAATAAAAAAAATCAAAATAAGTTCATAAGCAAAGAAGTTATGCCCGAATTTACAAAAAAAATATACGGACTAATTGTGAGAACCTCTGCCTTTTTTGTCCTTGAAAAAAATAGTGATTTGCAAAGGAAAGGTTGTCATTTTGTTGAATGCAATATAACTTTTGTAATATAACTTCACCGTACATTAACTTCTTATGTAAGTTTGTAGTCAACTAATTTGATTGTTATCATATTGTATTTTGTAATATATCAAAAAAAAAAACATTTTGTAAGATTTTACGTAACTTTTGAACCTTGGTTTGTATTGTTACACAGTTTAGATTATATTAATAACAAAAATAAATTGTACCTTAAAATATATGGCCGTAACATAAAAAAAATATTGCGTTCAAGTTTTTGCAATATGTAGAATATAATTGTGCCTTAGAATTTATGGCCTTAACACAGTAAAGATGCGTTCACATCCTTGCAATTAGTAAAAATCTACATACATACGTTGCTCGGGGCAAGTCCAATCTAATTCGAGAGGTTTTTTGTAACTGTAAATTTCGCCGTAGTGCCTCTGTATATTTTATGTCTGGCTCTGACGTAACCTATGTTTAAACCATCATATATCGAAAGAAATTATTTCTGGGGTTTGTTATAGTCACCTTTTACTACACCCGTGAGAAGTAACAGGATGTTCAATTGATATGCCGACACTACACGGCAAAGAAATTATAGATCCTTCCTTATCATTGACGTTTGCAATCAAGAAACCTCATGTCATATCATATCCTAAACACTCACGCCTGTCACCCAGAGGGGTAGGCAGAGACTACAGACTTTCATTTGGCACGATCCTGACACACCTCTCCCACCTCCTCCACATCCATATAACAACGCATTCATACTCGTCGTTTAAGGGTACTGTTAATTTGGCCCATTCTCAATATATCGCCAATTTGATCGACAAACTTTCGCCCTTTACTCTGCCGTTCACATCTGCCATATAAATTTACTTGGTCATTCTTTCCTCATTAATTTTTTCTACATGATCAAACCACTGAAGCATTCCTTTCTTAATCCTGGTCACAAAATTATCTTGCAAACCACACTCTTCTATTATCACACAATTTCTCACAATGTCACTCAGATTCAGCCCTAACATACTCCTTAACGACCGCATTTCTACTGCGTTTATTCTAATCTCGTGCTTCTTCTGCCAAACCCAACTTTCACTACCGTACTTTAAATCAAGAAACCTCATGTTTTAATAAATAAGAATAATTTTAAATTTATTCCTTAGTTTATTACCATGCTTTTTTTTAGCTTCACGTTTATCTATCTATCTATCTATGTAACGGAATCTTTTAATGTAATTTTCACCAAATTGTAGACGGTCGATTGACTTGAAAATTTGCACTCGTATCAAGGACCAATGACAATACTATATTTAACAACTTTGTCCTAGCATCCTGATCAAAATCACCAGGATAAAACGAAATAGTAATCAGGATCATCACGGATATCAATGCGTGTTGTTAAAGTTTTTTTTTAAAGTCATATATTATATTATTATATTTTATTCGTGCATAAAGTGCACATTACTTAGTTTATTTTAAATATTACATTGAAGGAATGATGCCGTATCTCCGGTCTGTAAGACTTTTTCGTGCACTTAATTGATTATATGATGAAATTACTTCTTATCGTATTGTAGTGGCGGTGTAAGAATATCTACTACATCATATCGCCCTGATATCGCATCCCCGTGGGTGTCGTAAGAGACGACAGAGGGTATCAAATCAGGAGATACGCAGCAGCGTCTTCCTGATAACGACTAAAAATAAATAAACTGCTGTTGCCAGTCCGCTTGCCAATCGTCATTCTATGAGGAAGCTCTACGTTTTGCCTATGACCTTTTTAGGCTGTAATGGATGCATGATATTAAATTTATGATAATCATCAAAATCAATTTATTTCATGTATTTCTCAGAATAAAAACTCCAAGGTTACGTGTAAAATGTAGCTTTAATTACTCCTGCCACTTCTCTACATATGTTTTTTTTATAGAGCGCAAACGAGCATGGGGCTCACCTGATGGTACGCGACTACCGCCGCCCGTGAACAACCGCAACACCAGGGGATTTTCTTATAGAATAAAAGTGACAAACGAGCACACAGTCCACCTAATGGTAAGTGGTAAGTGGATGCCGTGGCCCGTAGACATCTACATTCATCCTCGATTACGAATCTAAATGCAGATGGGTTGTCACTCCTGAGGACTAAGATGGAATGCCTCCTTTCCAGTAAATAGGGTCTCCGCATCTCTACACTCACCATACAAAACACAGCAGTACTATGCTGCTATTTTATGCTGGTATTCTGTGAGAGTGAGGACCTTCCCCGGTCGAGCCGACCCATTCGTGCTACATTTATACTACTAATATAGCTTCGGCATGGCTCTACCCAGGTGCGTTGCCGGCCCTTTAGAAAGGAGTAAGCTCTTTTCTTGAAGGTCCCTAAGTAGTATCGGTCTAGATAAATCGCCGGTGGTAAACAATTCCACAGAGAAGCTGTACGAGGAAGAAAACTCCTAGTAAAACGCACGGTGGTGGACCGCCAAGCATCCAGATTGTGAGAATGATATCGTGAATTTTGACGTGAGTATGTTCGTGAAATTTGGCGGCTGGAACTAATCTGTTCGTGGAGTTCACGAACATACAGACAGACTAAAATTTCAAAAATGGTAATCATATCTTATTGGTATGAAAATAAACCCCTCAGGTCAAATAAAGGCAGTTATTTCGATATCAGACAGTCTTATTTACATGTGTAGATTAGGCCTAAAGTAATAAGAATTCAAAAGAAATAAATTACTAACAATGATTATATGCGAACGAAGTCGCGGGCACAGCTAGTTGAAAATAAATGTCGATTGAATTTAATAGAACATTTTTGAATTAAAATGAAATGAAATGAAGTCAAAAGAAATAAATAAAACACTTACGGTAAGCTTGCAGAAGCTGACTGCGGAAAACTCTTCACAGTTTCAGTGGACAGCACTTTGAACGCATTATTATCCGAAACTTTGTCACTTTTTGTAACTCTGCCGAACTTTTTAGCCGAACTTGGCGCACTTTTCACTTCGAAACTGTCCGCTAAAGTCCGCACTTTACCCTTAACACCGGCTTTCGGACTGTCGAAACTCTGTCGCGTCGATAAATCGAAATATCGATCTTGCGCGTGTATCAGTTGTGTTACTGTAAACGCGGGAGGGTCCTCTTCGTCGGACGTTTTCACCGATGCCTTAAAATCGATTTGTGGACCAAACAGGCCATAATCGAGACTGATGTCTCGATTGAAGAATCGATCGTCCTCGATATCTTTTGAAGGGGACGCGTCGTAACTGTGCGACTTTATAGTGATATCTAAGACTGGCTCCGTGAGACGAAGCGAGCGATCGGTCGCGAACGCGTAAGGTGTGTTAGCCAATTCCTCCTCGATACTGTTGTAGCGGCTTCTGAACAGCGATTGAGGCGTCTCCCCTCCATCGTATTTCCCTCCGAAGAGGTCGTATTTCCCGAAGCGATTGTTGATGGTATCAAACTTCGGGTCTGTAAGGTCTTCGTGTTCCGCTTCTTCGGTCCGCGCCGGACTCGTTGATGGACTCATGTCGATGTGAAGGATACCGTGCTCGTCCTTGTATTTCAATTTCAGGGCCATTTTCACATTTTTCAACGGTGTTTGATTTTCGTATCTGTAAATAAAGGTTTTAATTAATTAAAATTATGTTTAATTATATTATATTTAATTTCATTATACCACTTATAATTAAATTAATTTGATTATACGTGGTAGAGCCACGCTGAAGCTGTATTATGGTTGTAGCATGAATAGGTCGGCACGACCGGGGAAGGATCACTCACAGAATACCAGTGTAAAATAGCATCCTAATCCTGCTGTGTTCGTTAGGTGAGTGTAGAGAACCGGTGACCCGTTTTTACTGGAATCGAGGCATTTCATATTAGTCCTCAGAGATGACAGCGCATCTGCCTTTTAATACTTAATCTAGGTTAAATATAGAGGTCTATGGGCCACAGCATCCACTTACCATCAGGTGAACTGTGTGCTCGTTTGTCACCTTTATTCAATTAAAAAAATCTATGTACTTTTTCCTGTCTCGAGGAGGCTGTTATTTACTCAATATGAGTAGACCTGTGTCGATCGATCATTACTCGTAACCCGGGTCGATTACGACCCACTCGTATGGTGATCGGGTTAAAAAGATTCGATCGTTTCGATCATTTGGGTCGCAGCTAGTTTGTATACTTTTACTTTTTGTTAGCTTGTATTCTTTTGTATGAAGAATGCTGAACGGGTACTATAATAGTAATAATACATACTACGATTTGTTTATTGGTTGAATTGTTTGTAAACGAAGGAGACAGAAGACATTTTGTTTATTAAGTCATTGTGTGATTGATTGCACAATTCGATCGATTATATGTATCTAAAAATATGCAAAAAAAGTAGAATTTGGTTTGTCTTGTCACCTTGAAATCAAATAAGATCGAATCTTTTAGAGATCCATGATTCGATCACTCGTGTACAGGTTGCAATCGAATCAAAAGGATTCGATCAATCGCGATCGACACAGGACTAAATATAAGCCAATGCTTGGCCTCAATCTCACTTGGGGTCTATGATGAAGCCTTAGGTAAATCTCTATTTACATACATAAATTGTACAAGTCGCACATCCAGACTCAGAACAATTATTTGTAGGTCATAATGAAATTAAATGAAATGAAATATTTATTTGCGTTTGGTTAAGGTATACCGAAGATGGTCATAGCAATTAAACATCCGTTCAATCAGCCATTATTAATGGCATGCAAATCTTATAACTATAAAGTACCGAGATAATAATATTTATAAGTAAAATGTCTACAATAACAGAACATCAACAAGTGATCAATAAATAGGTAATAATTAATAAAGATTTCATAATTGGTCCAGTAAATTTGTATCAATCAGGTTGCTATTACCTATCGTAATTCAAATATTATTGTGCTATACAAAATACTTGTTTGATTAAAGATTCGAACCCGCTGCCCTCAATTCAATACTAAACCACACCGCCACAGAGAGCCGTCAAATAATTAATAATTATTTAAATAGGTTATTAAATTTATCAAAAAAAAATATAATTTTAAGTCAATTACACAAACAAGAAGCCCAATGGTTAGCACAGTAATTAAACGGACCAGCTGCATGAAAAGGTTTACTGAAAAGTGAAAATTTTATAACTTATGTCACTTTCACAATTAAGGCAAGTGTAACTATACCTTTTTTATAGGATAAAGTGACAAACGAGCACACAGTCCACCAGATGGTAAGTGGTTGCTGTGGCCCATGGCCATCTATATCTATCCTCGATTACGAATCAAAATGCATATGCGTTGTCACCCGTGAGTGACATGGTAGAGCCATGCAGCAGTTATATTAGTAGTATAGTTGTAGCACGAATGGTTGGATCTACCGGGGAAGGATCACGCTCTCACAGTATATCAGCGTAAAATAGTAGCTTAATGCTGCTGTGTTTTGCATTGTGAGTGTAGAGAACCGGAGACCATTTTTACTGGAAATGAGACATTCTATCTTAGTCCTCAAGGCTGGCAACGCATCTTCATTTTAATTCTTAATCGAAGATAGATGTAGATGTCTATGGCCCACAGTATCCGCTTACCACCAGGTGGACTTGTAACCCTTAATCTTAAAAAAACAAAGAATAAAATAACAAAATCATCATCATCATCATTACAGCCCTTCACAAGTCCACTGCTGAACATAGGCCTCCTCCAAGTAATGCCACAAAGCACGGTCCTGAGCCACTTGCATCCATCGACTTCCTGCATGTCTTACCAGGTCGTCACTCCATCTAGTGGGGGGTTACCCTACACTACGCCTACCGGTACGAGGCTGCCACTCGAGAACCTTTCTTTCCCATCGGTTATCGGTTCTTCGAGCTGTTTGGCCGGCCCATTGCCACTTCAGCTTACTAATCCGTTGGGCTATATCGGTCACTCTGGTTTTACTGCGGATATCCTCATTTCTGAGTCTATCACACAGAGAAACTCCGAGCATAGCCCTCTCCATAGCTCGCTGAGCGACCCTGAGCGTCCTCATACGGCCAGTAGTGAAGGACCACGTCTCAGATCCGTAAGTCATCACGGGCAACACGCACTGGTTATACACTTTAGTATTCAGAGATTGAGGTATACCTGACGAGAAGATGTGTCGTAATTTCCCGAACGCTGCCCAGCCGAGTTGAATCCATCGATTGACCTCTCGGTCGAAGTTGGACTTACCTAGAAGGACTATTTGTCACAGGTAAACGTACTCGTCAACAACTTCGAGCATAGTACTCCCAACAACTACCGGCATATGTGTGACATGGACATTAAACATGATCTTTGTTTTGTCCATGTTCATCTTAAGACCTATCCGTTGGGAGACACCATTGAGGTCATTGAGCATAGTGCTAAGGTCCTCCAGCGATTCTGCCATAAGGACTATATCGTCGGCAAATCGAGGGCGAGTGATGTACTCGCCATTGATGTTAATACCGTATCCTTTCCAGTCCAGTAGCTTGAAAACGTCTTCCAACGCAGCAGTGAAGAGTTTGGGGGATATAAAATCACCCTGTCTTACACCTCTCTGCAGTTGGATAGGTTTCGAACTCTGGTTCTGTACTCGGATAGCCATCGTAGCCCTACTGTATAAACACTTCAGCACTTCGATATACCGACAGTCAACTTGGCACCGCTGAAGGGACTGTAGGACCGCCCAAATTTCGACGGAAAAGGCTTCATAGTCCACATATGCCAGGCAAAGTGGCAGATTGTACTCTTCGGTCTTCTGTACAATCTGCCGCAGGGTACGTATGTGGTCTATGGTACTGAAGCCTTTTCGGAAACTGGCTTGTTTTCCGGTAATTGCACCTCTCCAATAGCAAAGAAGTAAGACTCTCTTTAAATATTCTTATGGTTTGATTTTTACATCATTTGGGATTTTGTTATAAATAACAGGTGCAATGCCCAGAATACTTTTATTTTTGATAAAGCTGTTTGAAATCTTCCAGGGTACAATAAGCCTTTATACTGCGTTCTGGTGGATACATTTCGTACTCGAGTTTCATTTAAGGTAGGAAATAAATGATGATTAATTTTGACAAATAACGCTATTTCTAGAATATACATACATAGAAAAGTTAATAATTTATGGGCTTTGAAAATAGGGACAAGCTGTCTGTAATCTTTAAATTAAATATTGCTCTTATGCAGCGCTTTTGTGCTTTGAAAATGCTTTCTCTATCGCCACAGTTGCCCCAGAATATAATACCATATCTTAAAATGGAAACTACCATGCTATGGTAAGCTACTAGTGCCGTTTTGATACTGAATTTTTTTGTCAGGTTATAGAGTGCATATGCAGACTCAATTAGTTTCTTACAAACATCATCTGCTTGAGCCTTCTATGTCAATTGGCTGTCTATATATATATATACCTAAACATTTTGCGACATCTACTCTTTCTATTATTTGACTACTGTAATTTATATTTAGATTGTCAGTGGGAAGTTTCTGGTAAAAGTGCATAATTTTAGTTATTTAATATTTAAAAGAAAATATTATAATTCAGCCAGTTAATTAAAGTTTTAATCATAGTGTTTATATTTTTTTCATAAAAATCTTTATTTAGGTATTTTATTAGAGCTGTACTGTCGTCGGCAAATAATACCAATGGGTGCTTGGATTGGGATAGAGTTGGATATCTATGGACGATAGCATCCACTGACTGTGTACTGGTTTTTCTTGTCAGACTGTCTTGTTGGTGTAGTAGGCGTAAATGCCATTGCTCAACACGACGATCACGGGATCGAATCCCAAGTCGGGCCAAAATCAAGTTTAGTTTTTCTGTCAAGAAATTGACAGGGAGTTGGCAGTGTTCTACCTTGAGTCTCGGTCCTGCGCCTGATGTTTCTCCAGTCTTGTCGGATTACCGTCCCATCGGGCTATGAGAGTGAGGGAATACAGAGTAGGTACACTTATGCTTGCACCCACCCATATACATATGATAAATTTATATGATATTTTTTTTGGGTTTTTTTTTTTGGGTGATATTTTTTATTATTTTATACCTTTTTTTGTTCAGGTTTTGGTAGAATTTTATAAATTATAAAATTTTAAAAATTTTTATTTGTTTTTTTTTTTTTTTTTTTGGGTTTTTTGGAGTCACAGTCTAACTATTATTAACAGTCGGTCATCGCAGGCGACTAGACGGGGAAATCGTACGATGCGGTGCGGGGTGAGACGCGGGCGGAGCTGTCCGCTAGGGTGTTCCTGTCATGCAAATAAATTAAAATGGCTCACATTACATCTGCGGTAAAAACTGTGAGTCGTCCTCATTTAAAGATAAATAAAGTTTCATCTCCAAAATAGAGAACAACAAGTCGAACTGGGTGATTATACAAGCGCGTTAACTGACACATCTTATGGTGTACCACATGGAAGTGTGCTTGGACCATCGCTTTTCTTGATATATGTACATCAACGATCTGTGTAACCTAATCGCAAATGCCAATACTTTTTCCTACGCAGATGATACGGCTATTGTATTCTCCGGTGAAACATCCACTGAAGTTCAAAGGATCGCGTAAGA